AATTTGGCGTGATAATTTGGACCTTACCGCAGTCAGCGCACCCTAAAGCCCTAATAAAGAAACGCCCCACCCAGAGCTTCTGGATTCTCGTTCCAGTCCACCGTTCCTTCACCCCAGCCCGCCGCCGCGCTCCCTCGCCTCAGCCCTCCGTTCCCAACTTGACGAGCGTTTGGGCCTTAGTTAAGCCTTGCTGTAGGCTTACTGTATAAACCCATCGAGACAGCCCGTCTCGGTGAGCTTAGTTGGCGAACTACTGCCTTGGGGAGGGTTTCTGACGGATCGCTGTCCCAATAGGTTTAGATGCGACCGACTGTCTCTGAATGTTTAAGCGGTCTCCTCCCGCTGTGAGCTAGTTTCAGTTGATATCTGTCTCAGAAATACTTTTTAAAGGAAATCGAACGTAAAATGAACAGAGGAAATGGTAACGAGTTACCTCATTGAAGAATAGCGCTCGCCTACTTAAAAAGGTTTGGCACCGTTCTTCAACATCTGATATGCGATCGGGTTATGGCACAAATTTCCCATTGGAGCTTTTTTCTAATACAGCAATACGAAAAGCGTTACGTCGTCCACTGGCGGATCCAGGGAGCGGGCATTTAAAGCAAATGTTTACTCCCCCTCCCCCTGGCCCCTGCATTGCCAGAAATAGACAAAACGTATCTTATGTTTCCTAATAATAACACTTTTATCGGATTTTTTTTTTGCTATATACTGTTCAGCAGTATATAGGAAGGAATCGAAATCCGAGGAGTTTTTGGAGTTTGGACACTTTTTGGGGGGGGGGGGTATGTCCTCTACAGCGTCGAAAACGCCTTTCTGGATCCGCCTATGACATCATCTCGACTGGGATCTTGCCCCCCCACGCCAAAATCGAATCCGCCGCCACTGGTTCTGACAGGTCCTGATTTTCCCGTCTTTTGGGTCTGTGACCTGACCTGGGCGGTGTTTCACGGCACGCTGCCAGCCGCTGCCAGCGCTGATGGCACTTTTGGTTTCAATGGAGACATCAACAAGCCTATACCCACAACACTACCGAAGGCTGACCTTAGCTCGCGGAATGCGCTGTCAGCGGCTGTCAGCACGACCGTGAAACACCGCCCTGGAAGGTCAACCAATGACCAAGGACCTTAAAATCGGGTATCATCGGCTTCGTCTCGTCACTCACGGGCAACACTCCTGTTTTTTTCCGCGAGCTCTAGCTTAATCAGGGGCCGAACGGCAGGGGTCCAACCGACACCTCCCAGCCCGCGAAGGCTGCGCCACGCACCGACCCGGAGCAGGCTAATTGGTCGACAAAAGCAATTTGAAGTGTTTTCAAAGTAATATTTAGGCTCGGGTTGGGTGGGCTACCATTTCTTTTTTATTTTTAGTTTAAAAAAATATCGTTTCAGGGCTGTGACGAAAAAATAAGTGTCCTAAATCCGATGAGAAAACAGGATTTGGGGGTACCCTAGCCCGCGCCCTGGTGTGGGTCTGAGCCACCTTCGCCCTGGTGGGGGGGCCAAAATGACCCCCCCCGTCTAACTCGAAAACGAAGAGGGCTAGGAAGACGCGGAAAAAAGCAAACGAAAGCCCATAACAAGTACGTTCGAAAGTATTTCGGTCATTTTTTCGCTAAGGTCAATATTGAGGTCGCTAGAGGTCATCATAGGTCAAATTTCAGTGTTTTCGGTGTTGCCGGACATATTCCGCTGTAGCTCGGAAACTAGAAGAGCTAGAGAGCCGCGGAAAAAAGCAATCGATAGCTCTTTTCAAGCTCTTTCGCCAAGGTTCGTCAGATTTGACCTCAGCTCAACGGTTTGGCCTACAGAGGTCATGCAAGGTCAACTTGGCAAATTTCGTTGAAAATGTTTTTAACTATAGCATGCATTCACGAGAAAATAGAGAAACGATTCATGCACCATCGTGCTTGGCTCGTCGAGACGCGTCGAATGATATATAGTTTGACCTCGAAAGGTCATTTTGAAAATTTGACCTCAGGTCAAGGTCATGACCTTACCGAAATAGGTCATGCTGCATATCATTCGATCCGCATTGACGAGACAAACACGATAAACGTCGAACGGAGTCTCTATCTCTATTCAATAACAAGTAAGTGCAGAAAAACCGCTGGTGACCTCTGGTGACCAGGGAGATGACCTAGCGTGACCTCAGCGAGGTCACAAGCAAATGGTTTCACATGGGCTGTGATTTGCTGACCCAAGACACTTCAATAACGAAATATAGGAACAATCACGCCCGATTTAGCTGAAAAACAACTACTTTTCGATTCTCCCATTGACTTATAATGGGGAGCAGCGATGACCTGACCTGACCTTAGGTCACATTTATAAAAAATCCGAGATAGCCATTTTGTAGAGCTGGGTGACATCTTCAAGTACTGTAAATTTTACATCGATCGGATAAAAGCTGTGCCTTTGAGAGAGCTTTGAACTTTTTTAGAGGTGGTGTCAGTTTTGGTGACCTTGTGACCTGACCTGACCTGACCCGAACCCCCCAAAAAAGGACATGATGTAAAAATGTTGAATAAACAGCTATACAAAGTTTCAGGGCGCTAACTCAAGTGGTTTCTGAGTTATCGCTGAAAAACCACAGGGGGGGGCCAAAATGGCCCCCCCCCACCAGGGCGAAGGCTAGGTTTGGTTACTTGCAGGAGTTGGCCCCCCCCCCAAAACGCAAGTCTGGATCCGCCAGTGGGCTGTAAAGCGTTCCCCGTCCTTTTACCTGGACCTTGACCTTGAAGGTCATGACCTAGTGACCTGAAAATTGCTGTCAACCTGGAATCGGGGTCGAGGAATCAATTGATGCCTTTTACAAGCCAATCGGGCGGTAACTTTAGGCTGTAGAGCGTTCCCCTTCATTGACCTTGTATTCGCGAATCTGCTGTTAATGAAAATGACCTTGAAGGTCATGACCTAGTGACTTAGAAATCGCTGTCAACCTGGAATCGGGGTCGGGGAATCGATTGAGACCATTTACAAGCCAATCGGACGGTAACTTTAGGCTGTAGAACGTTCCCCGTCCTTTGATCTTGACCTTGAAGGTCATGACCTAGTGACCTGGAAATCGCTGTCAACCTGGAATCGGGGTCGAGGAATCGATTGAGACCATTTACAAGCCAATCGGACGGTAACTTTGGGCTGTAGAGCGTTCTCCGTCCTTTGACCTTGACTTTGACCTTGAAGGTCATGACCTAGTGACCTGGAAATCGCTGTCAACCTGCAATAAGGAACGAGGAATCGAATGATGGCATTTTCATCAAAATCGGTTCGCTGGTTCTTGAGTTATTGCGTTCCCCGTCCGAATATCGAATTTTTAGTTTGATATTCGCGAATATCAATCTGCTGCTGAATTGATGGACATGCATTTAGTCTCACCCGTAGCGCCCATTTGGCCTAATGCTACCAAATGTTACTGGAATATTGGCTAGTAAAGTAATCTTGATTGGCTACCCCTGAGCTCTGTTCGCCCGCTGCTGTCAAAACAGCTTCCCCAACAGCCCACTAGGTGGCTACTGTGTTGAAGAGATAGGACTGTGCTGTTGACCAATGAGAGGCCGAGAAACGCACGCAGGCTGCTGACGTAGGCTGCCGTGCGCTTACTATGGGCAACCACAAAAGTGAGATATTTCTTCTTTTAATGGGGCTACAAATTGATCTAAAACGCAGACAAAAAAGTTACCGGCACTACAAAACCACTGCCACCATCCATACGCTGGCTGATGGACGAGATTGTTGCCTAGCAACGGAGACCACGTGAATTTGTCCAATAGGAGCTCGAGTCGCGCCAGCAGTGTGTGACGTAGGCTGCTGTTATAACCGCAGAGTTCGTGCGGTCGCTGTGGGCCAACCGCAGCGAAGGCGCGGCCGTTGGGCGCGCCCCGCGCCGCTGTCACACGTGCGCCAAACAAGCTGAGCAATGTCCCTTTTGATTGTCGCTTAGCAGTGGAGACCACGGTTACGACGTACTTTTGGCGTACTTTTGTCTGCAGCCCCATCCGTTAGCTGCGTAGGTTTCATGAAAGTAATTTTGGGTTTCATGGATCGACGCTAGTGACCTCTATATTGAACTTCATCAACGCGCTAGCGACATCTCGCAGGAGCCAAAAGGACTTGGCATTATGCAGTGAATCATTCAAACTTTGCAAATCATTGGCAACTTTGCCGAGAACATAGGTAGGCGGCGGAATGGGGAGGGCACCGGGGCACCGTGCCCCCTTTGATTTTGACATTTTCACATAAGCCCTATGGGCGTTGCATGGAAAGAATTTAGAATGGGACAAAAGGTCGGCAGTGCCCCCCCCTCCCCCTTCATTGAAGGTGTTCCGCCGCTACTGCCCGAGAACGCCGATGTTCCTTTCGCACCGGGCGTCGGTTCATCACAGGTGTTGGTAGGGCTCGAATGGCACAGTCAAACAGCATAGCCATTCTCCCTTAATAAGCACTAACCCCTAGCCCTCGCCACCGAGAAGAGGGGGTTCGGGTGTCGGCCTCGACGTTTCGTTTAATTGCTCGGAAGGCGCTGGTATAGAGATGAAAGCTGGCGCACTTGAACATTAAAGACGGATCTTCACACCGACCACATTATTAGGTCAGGTCAGGTTACTGACTTGGGACGTCGTAAGTGAACCTCTGCACGGCCCTAAAATGTCGCAATTTAGTCCGAAATGGCGAGGGGCGGGGAGGGCAGAGTCCATCTACCCTCCCCCAAAACGGCATCTGATGAAGAAAACCGATAGGTTCGGCGAGAATTAAAAATGCCCTAATTATTGCCGAGTCTAGGCAGTACCATGCCCACGATCACGACACCCATCTGTTCATATGCCCATCGGTGAATAGCGCGTGTCAGCCTGTGTCCGGCTGTTATTGCCTGCGGTTACAGGTGCGTCATCAACGTAACAAAGAGGTACGACGCTTGTGATATCTATCCTGAAGCACCATGAAATGTGACATCCGTAAAATGTACAGTAGAATAGTTAGTCATTGCCCATGTAGAACACATTTATGGTGAGTGGTGACATTTATTTCCAGATAACAAATTTAACGAGAAGGATAAGGCTATGGCCACTGGCCAGTAGCCTTATCCACATGGCCACATGCGAACAAAACAACGTCACACAACGAATCAATGCCAAAAAATTAAAGGCATTTGGCCACACTGCAGCGCTCGTCTGCGACGAGCGCCAGGCCTCCTGCTGGCAGGCCAGCGAGACGGGTTCCGAAACTCAGGGACCACAGCCCGGGTCGTCGAAACCATCAGGCAGGGCGAGGGAGGATGGAAGATGAGCGAGCATATCGGCGCGATAGGCTTCAGTCAGCTGAGTCAGCTGAGTTCAGCTGAGTGGGACCGAGGGCGTCCGTCCGTTGAAGACAGGTGGTCGACGGACTGCAAACAGCGTGCGGCGGTCTTCTCAAGGCTGTCCGATGGGCCGCTGGCCCTAAGCAGCGATAAATCACCTGCCAAGAAAACAAGGGATCAGAAAATTGACTCCCTCCTTTAAAGTCCAAAATGCTTTTTGCTCAAGCACCTCAGGGTCAGAGCCTCAGAGGAAGCAGTTATAGAGGCCTTCAGCAACCTCACCAAGCTATTCAGAGTGATAACAGGATGATGCCTCAGGTCTGAAGACTTTACCGGACAGCTGGCGGAAGGCATTTTCCAGCAAATGGACAAAGACCTGCAGTAAATGTTCTCATGAGCATGTGCCATATTTTTGTTTGGATTGATGAGAACTGATCATTCCATATGCAAACCAGTCCGTGCAAGGTTCTGAACAACTTTTTATAATTTCATCATTAAAAATCAACTTGAATATTAAAAATTGTGGCACATAAGTAGGCTTTCAAGCTTCACGGTCCGGGATACACATCACCAACAATCACCACATGTACGAGAGCTATGAATTCAGTGCCTTCTTGGGAATATATTCCTATATTTAAGATACAAAATTACGTGGATAGGTATGCCAAGATAAAACACAAGGCAATAACAATAATTTGAAGGAAGAAACAGCAAAAGTATCACCACACAGTACCTACTTATAATAAATAACTGTGAACATAAATTGGGAAATAAAATGACAATATTGAGTGGCCAAGTATTTTAATCCTTACAAGCTTCAGGGGACAGCAAATCTAATGAAGCAAAATATTGCATTTTAGCACACATATTCTGACACAATCAAACACTAAATTGAAATGCTCTTCTATGAAGTAGGTACTCCAAAACAAAAACAAAAACGCAGGTCAAATCGTTTACAAATAGAAAATGAACGTTCTATGCCTGCCACCTATGGCTGAACAAATAAACAGCATATAAAATTAAATACCTAACACAAAAAATAAATTTTCAAAACCGAATATAATCACAACATACCTATGTGAAACAATAAACACACAAAACAGTGCGGAGCGGAGAGCATTTGTTTATGTGCGCCACCAATGTCAGTACAGCATCATATATGTCTCTTTCACGTAGCACGTAGCTTGCAGTGATGACGTCATGTCCCGTGACGTAAATCGACCGCCGACGTCATAAGTCTGCTGATAAATAAACGGGGTGCGAACAGGGCCCTGTTTCACCGGTGATAGCAGCAAGCTACTATCAAATTGCGCGAGCTGACGTAATGTGATGACGTCATACTGCTGACGTAAGGGGCAATTCTGGCGCACGATTGCCGCAATATTGTTTTACGTCATCAACTAAATGTTCGAAGTTTACGTCCAAATTTTCCCTAAACCCAACTTCTTTTAAATACATCATATTAAAAAAATATATAATAAAAAGAAATATACTATAATGACTGCGTAAACTCTTACTATTAGTCTCATACGTCACTTAATGCGGCGCCCAAGGTCGCGGCCATCGTGCGCCGGAACTGCCCATAACGTCAGCAGTATGGCGTCATGACATGACGTCAGCTCGCGAAACGTGATAGCAGCTTGCTGCTATCACCGGTGAAACAGGGCCCAGAGCTCTGGTTTATATCAGGGTATATTGAGTGTTTATATAGCCTTGCCCTGGATCAAGGCTATGTAAACCCCCTGGATGCGCCCTATAGCCTTGGATGCGCCTTCCACATTATAGAGTTCAGTGGGGTATATAGATAGGTAAATGGGCGATATATCATTATCATTTTTTTATAGCAATACGGTGTGAGCTTCAAGGCATGGATGACAGGCAAGAATGGCGCGATTTTGCGCTTACCCATGTGGAATATCTGTCTGGTAAGTTTCAACATAGTATTTTAGCTTCAATTTTGACTTGTCGTTTTCAGCTTATCTACATGTTCAGATTGAAAGATGAAATTTAGCATACGTTGCTTTAATGGTCCCTGCAACACCAAATAATTACCAGGGATTCCGGATAATTACCTATCCCTCATTTTCTGGATGTCTAACGCAAGGTTAAGGTTACCTAGGTACCTAATGCTCCAGTGAGAAAGGTAGCAGTATGGTGTATCCCTTGGTTTCAGTTGGGCAAACTAGACCTTTGGAATCAAAATATGGAGGCATCAAAAGATTGATTCCTTTTGGGCATAAATGCAGACCATTTCTAACTTACCAACCACATAAAAATAAGAGAGTGTTTCAAGAAGGAGCATGCCTGATCTTGAACAGAAATGCTTGAACCATCTCCTAAGCAAAATAATATTGCTCCTATCATAACAATTTGAATTCTATAGGTAGTGAAAGGCAATCAAGGAATTGATTCACTTTAAACAGATAATCATAATATTGATTCCCCATCAGCTGGCTAATCATTATTTTGATTCACAGGTAATGTTAACAGATAGGCAACAATGACTTGCAAGAATACAGCATTTATCTTGCTATTATTCTCATTTAATGGTATCCTCAGCACCACAACTGATACCTATAGCACTGTTGTACTTCACCTTCACTACATTTGATAACAATTCACAATTTTTAAATGTCAAGAATACAAAAACTGAAGCAACAGGTAAAAACCATTTAAATAATATAAAAGCACTACAACAATGATAATTAGGGGTTTAAAAATTTTATTTTGCCATTTTACACAAATACTGATTGGTTAGTATGTGATTCATGATACAAAAATAACATAGTGTGATTTCCTCATAACAGCTTTTACGTGATGGACAGTGGCTCTGTCTTTTTCCCATTCACAAGGCCAAAGGGACAATTTCTTAGCTTTGAGGTAACACTTTTTGCAAACCTACCACATTTTTCTACCTTTTAAAAGAAAAATCTCACCGTCATGGGCCTTTTTTCAACCGTAACGATTCATTTGAAGTCAAAAGTGTACCCAAATGAATCAAAAAATTGATTCCATGCCCATATTTGGTCATGGCTCCTCCCACCAGAATCAAATTATTGATGCCTCCATATTTTGATTCCAAAAGTCTAGTTTGCCCAACTGGTTTGGGTTGGTGGTACTTGGGTGGTACATTCCAGGCCCTGTTTCACTGGTCACAGCAGCACGCTGCTAACACAGTGGCGCGGGAACTTCTTCTAGACTGGGGGGGGGGGGGCTGAACCATAATAGAGATCAACCTAGGGTACCCCCAAATCTAGTTTTCTCACCGGTTTTAGGCCACTTATTTTCAGACCTTTGCCTTTTCAATGAAAAAAAACGAAAATATTTGCAAAAAAGTGAGGTATTCCGTCTCAGCTGAGTGGCAACCTGGAATCAAGGTTTTAATCTGCCAAATGAGTTGCCGAGCCAGTGAAAGAGGTGGATTTTTCACACATGCTTTCTTCCTTTGTGACCCACAACACCTAATTTAGGGAGGACAAGCTGCCCCAATGGTTCCTGGCCTCATGAAAAGTTGTGGGGCACCGTCCCCACGGCCCCAGAGTTGTGGGGGCAGACTTCCCCCACTGCCCCTCCCCCGGTTTCCGCGCCTATGTATGAATCTATGAAATTATGTTGGTAGATTTCCGATTTCGATTCCTCCAGCTGGGGGGGGCTCAAATACATTACGCGCCCCCCAGCCGAAAAGTTGGAGGGGCTCAGCCCCCCTAGCCCCCCCGGTTCCTGCGCCACTGTGCTAACAAATTGGGCGAGCTGACGTAATGTGATGACGTCACACTATTGACGTTTTGTGTAATCCGTGAGCTTTTTCATAGCTGCGTTTGGAACAGAGTTGCTGTCTCATTGGTTGCGTTTGATACATTTGTTTGATTGCATGGCCGTGAAGATTTTAGCAGCAATATTTGATGACATCACACAGATTGGCGATGTCATGGTTTGTTGATGTTTCCATGGAAACCCAATTTGACATGTGGGGCATTCCACGATAGATCGACCAAAATTTTATCAGATTTACACCCGACCATTTTTGATTTTGATGAAATCTTGTCTACAGGGTTCTCTTATGCCCTGAAGTCAATGGTGACAACGCCAGACCCCTACGGTCAGCGGTTTAGGAGATATAGCCCCGGGCATTTTGACGAGGTCACTCTGCAGAGTGATTTTTGAAGTGCTATATCTCCTAAAGGAATGAAGGAAATGCATTAAACCTTTGCATCGTTGTGATCGTGGTGAAATGGGCAATTAATTGGCCATCTCGAATTTTCAAAAAAAATGATTTTGATTTTTAGCTGTGACGTCATCAATTTTTAAACTTTCTGGCTACCCCCCTAGTACATTAAAATTTGCCATTATTTTTGCTCAGAAATATAGATCGGTCAATGTTCTTTTGACTGTCAAAAAATAAAAATGGTAATCTTTCTATAAATATTTTATTTTATTTTTTGAAAACAACTCTGTAATATGAAATTTGCATACATTTGCTCTGAAACGACAAATAGGTGCAGCTGGCACGGACAGTGGAAGGACTGGATTTATAAAACACCTAAATAATATTTTCTTGAATATTTTTCGCAACTGGAATAAAGCGTAAGATATTTTAAGCGTAAGGTATCATCTCTTAGAGTTCACGAACTCTCAACGGATGAGGGTCGTGTCGTGAGCATGCATGCTCGGACGAAACGTTCCAAGTAAAAAGTGTGTTTGTGTGGCCGTGATCTCGTTCCTGTCTTGGTGCTTTGCCGTCTGTTATTGCAACTGCAATAGAAATGCACTCCGTTGTTTATGGCTTTTATTGCATCCAGCGTTGAAAATGATGATTCGCTGATGAAATACCTAGTCACATTACACCACCTTTTGCCTTCCTGAAACTACCAATTATTTTGTTCGTTTATAATTAGTCGGTTCGTAAATATGCTTTGCAAATCGACTGTCGGTTGGTCATTTGAGCTACGTTGATAAACAAGGCAGCTGTGGCAGCTCAAAAGTATGTATAATTTTGCCATTATATTGACTCCTGTGCAAGTAATATTAACCCGCGCGGGGCTGGGGTCTCCAGCCGAACGCGCGGGGCTGGGGGGGGGGTAAATTTTACCCCCCCTGTTATCTCCCGAACTAATGGTCCGATTTGGAAAATTTAAACGCCAATCGAAAGCTCTCATCACGAACTACTAAAAACATGTACTTAATTTAAAGTTTGAGGTCAAGGTCAAGGTCAGGTCAAGGGTACAAATTGCAAGTTTCTACAGTATCGGCCTTGCACCGTAGTTGCCGAAGAATGGAGTCATGGAGTGAGACTGATCGCCCAAAACGTGTTCTTAGGCTACCAAGACAATATTTGTTGCATACAATATCATTCAGAGGTCAAGGTCAAGGTCAGGTCAGGTCAGGTCAGGTCACCAAAAAACAAAATATAGAAAAGGGCATGTGCGACACATGTTTTATGGGTCATTTTACACATAGAATTCAATAGGCACACTCAATAAGTGATATGGACCACCTCTGGATGAATTTCAGGTCGAGGTCAGGTCAAGGTCAGGTCAAGTGAGGTCAAATTTTGAAGTTGGTTTTTAAGGCCTAAAAAGGTGTCTATCTGATGCAGTTTTTCACGGCGAATCGAATGGTGCTATTTTTGTTTCCGTACGAGGTCTAGAACTTCCAAAAAAGTCATTTTTCAAAAATTTTGTGTGTCGTGACGTCATAAAATTTTGAATAACTCCCACATTTTTGAACCGATTCTTCTAAAATTTGGTATGTAGGTGCACATAGACCACTTCTCTGACATATATTCCGGTTTTTTTCGATAGACTCAAAATTTTGGATTTTATAATGATTTTCCCAAAAAAATCAGTTTTTTGAAGAAAAAATTAGGCCAAAATCCAAAATTTTCAAAAACCCGAGATAGCCATTTGATAGACAAAGTAAAATTACGTATATCCTTTTTTGTTACGTCTTGATTCCTTTAAAAATGAAGATGTTAGCGGCGTTTGAACTTTTGCCGTTTTTGAGGCGAAAATGGCGAACATGACGTCACTAAAACGTCAATTTCTCAAAAATTTTCCGACGGATTTCGCTCAAATTTTGAGGGAACGTGTCAAATTGATGTAAGAAAAGGTACTGAAAGTTTGGCGGCGCTGCGCGCCGCCGTTTTTGAGATATCGCAAAAATTCGCGAGGGGGGGGGGGTAAAATTTACCCCCCCAGCCCCGCGCGGGTTAAAGTTCTTTTTTTTGTTATCAAAAGTGAAGTTAAAGAGAAGAATATTATATGCCGAAACCCAGATAACCTCTTTTTGGAAGTAACTGGTCCTCGCAGATGTGTCTTATATTGCTTAATAACCCGATTCTGTGAATCAGAGTTTGTAGTGCGATTTTCAAAAAATAAAATAAAATATTTGTAGAAAGATTACCATTTTTGTTTTTTCCCAGTAGGAAGGAAATTGACGGAACTTTATTTCTGAGCAAAAATAATGGCAAATTTTAATGTACTAGGGGGTAGCCAGAAAGTTTAAAAATTGATGACGTCACAGCTAAAAATCAAAATCATTTTTTTGAAAATCCGAGATGGCCAATTAATTGCTCATTTCACCACGATCACAACGATGCAAAGGTTTAATGCATTTCCTTCATTCCTTTAGGAGATATAGCACTTCAAAAATCACTCTGCAGAGTGACCTCGTCAAAATGCCCGGGGCTATATCTCCAAAACCGCTGACCGTAGGGGTCTAACGTTGTCACCATTGACTTCAGGGCATAAGAGAACCCTATAGACAAGATTTCATCAAAATCAAAAATGGTCGGGTGTTAGGCCTTGGTCGATCTATCGTGGAATGCCCCATGTGTAATAGCAGCGTGCTGCTATCACAGGTGAAACAGGGGCCCTGTTTCACCGGTGATAGGTATCAAATTGCGTGAGCTGACGTAATGTGATGA